AGGAAAAGGGGAAGACCCAGGGGCCCTATAAAATAGCCAGCCATTTAGTGGATTTCCATTTAGCATATTTCCAACCTAAGGGCTCTCCCATCCCCCAATGGCAGAAAGGTTTTACTTTCTTTCCAATGCTTGGTCTTCTTGTCTTTCTCTAATGTGCGCTTCTTTGTTCATCTCTGAGAATGAACTGTGTAATCCCCAATGACCAACATCTTTCTTATATTTCCTGGGGTCTTTCATCTGGGATTTGAACCTGGAAGTAAGGAGAACAGGGCCTCCAGGTGAACACTTTGATCTTTTATGGCCAAACAAAGAACCAGGATGAAAGCATATGCCATGACTTCTGAGCCAAGACACAGGGCATGCCAGACCCTAAGGAACCAATTGTCTTCCTGGGTAGAGGAGGGGTAGGCTTGCCCACCTGGGAAAGACAGGTCACTTCTCTGCTCCATCTTACACCCAGCCCTGGGATTCCTGAGCTGTGAGAAGCTAACTACAGGCGCCTAGGGTTGGGCTGTCCGGAGATAGGAAGGCTTGCTTGGCTGTTTCCTGAGCTGTTCTAGAATGTAGGCAAAATCCAAAGGGGGGAAGTGATAACAAGTTTGCTTTGAGTTTGATGCAAGAAGCACCTGAAATTCAAGTGAGCTGGGGCAGGTGTGTGTGTGTGAGTGTGTGTGTGTGGTGTGTTTAGCTTCTGCCTCTGTATAGGAAAGCTTAGTTGCACACTTTAGCTGTTTGTTCAGAATCCACATGGCTACTGCTGGGACGGCAGGACAAATGCCCCCTTCACACACGTGCATCTGTCCCAGGCTCTGGAGGTCCCCAAGCTGATGGAAGAGCAGAAAAGAAAATGAAGTGGCAAGAATGCTGTCTGAGGTTGGACTAGGTGTAGAAGGCTTGAATAAGCATGAAGCCCTGGGTTCCATGCCCAGCACTGGCCAGTCCATAGAACTACGGGAGACTTAAAATTGTCTTTCCAGCCTTGTGCCTCTAGCATTAAGATGGCTAGCCCTGGAAAGCTCATGTGAATTTGCAACAGCCCAGGGACAGGTGCTAGACAAGCTGCCAAGAACAGCTAGAGGCAAAGAAGTACGAGCCTGCTTGGGTGGGAGGTTGGAGATAAGGATTCCGCTGGGTCATAATGCCTGCCCTTCCACACTTTCCTCCTTGTTGTCTGTTGTTTCTGCCCCTCATGCCCTGGACACCCTACTTTTGTTTTCACTTTCCAGGCTGAGGAAAAAGAACATTCCATACTGTCAAGATTATAGGTATTGTCCTTATTTACGTAGTATAGATTTGAGAAAAGGAGGTCAAAAGAATGTTTGCTCCAGTGGCTTTTCTGGATGGTGGATATTCCACAGGCAAAATAGATTAGGAATTCACTAAGGTTCTGGGATACTGACGAGTCACATCACCAGGAAGGAAATAATCTGAACAGACTCTCCCTCCTTTCAGCGGTCACTAATGAAGGAGAGAAATGGGTATCCACATCCAAGTCAGTGAAATCTCCAGATGACACTTCTGCCTCTGAAATGCTAATGGAGACGGTGACTGCACGGGATGATTGCTGTGTGAGAGTTGACGGCTGTCCTGCACTTCCTGGGGATGCACAGGCTCCTGGATTTATGGTCCCGCCAAGAGTGTGAACTGAGAGGTCATCCCACAAAGAACAGCAGGAGCTCTCAGGAAGAGGTGTGCACTGCCAGCAAAAATGCCCACTGGGACAGGATCCCTACCCTACTGCAAACACCACGAGGACAGCAGCTCTACTGTCATCTTCGATGCTGTCACCACATGCACCCACACTTGCCATGGTTCAGAGGGTCACAGTTGAGTTGTTAAAAAATTTCCAGTTCCTCTCTTCATCCCAATCAACAACTATGGGGCTTTGATTAGAGCAGGCACCACAAAAACAAAAACAAAACTGCGGGTTAAATCGATAGGACAGTGGGAGAAGAAAAATGGGGAGAGTGGTGTTTTTCTCAGAAATGGGAGAATGCTGAAATCGAAGAGATGAACCCGTATTTTCAGAACCGGAAAATATACATGTGGTCTGGGAACAACTTTAATACTCCACAAAAGGCACAGGTGGCTTTCTAGCTCCATTTCTGTTGAGACAATCATCCTGACCAAAAAAAATAAGCAGCTTATGGAAGAAAGGGTTAATCTCAGTTTACAATTTTAGGTTACAGTTCATCATTGTAGGGAAATCAAGGCAGGAATTCAAGCAGCCGGTCAGACTACTTCCACAGCCAAGAGCAGAGGGAAACAGATTCACCAATGTTACCAGCTACTTCTAGCTTTCTCCTGTGTTCAGGACCCACTGCCTAGGGAATGCCGATGCCCAAAGAGGGCTGGGACTTCCTGCCTCAATTAAAAAGCAAGACAATCCACAGACATGCTTACGGGCCAATCTGATCCAGGAAGTCCCTCACCCAGGCTCTCTTCTCAGGTGGTTCTAGGTTGTGACAAGCTAACATTTAAAATGAACCGTCACAGGTAGGGAAATCACTGCTGCTGAACTAATGCCTTTAGAGTAGCGTGAAGGGGACAGAGATGTCAGGATTCATTTGTTTCTTTGCTAATCTGCCACAGCTTCCTGTTCTTGCCTTGGAGGTGGCTCCCGGTACCTCACCAGGATGGCCCATTCTTTCAATACCTTGCATCTAGTTTCCAGAGTCCTGTGGGTGGGTGGCTGGCTATCCTGTCATGCTGATTTCCAAGAAGTCAGTCCTCAGTCAGAGTGCATAAACCCTCAAACTCACTCTTTCCTTGCAGCTTAGAATATCTGAAACAAGAGGAATCTAATGCAAGGACATTTCATCTGGGATTCCTGTTGTAAAAGATGATCCCCAAGGGTTGGGAACATAGTGCCGTAAATAAAGTGCTTGCCTTGCAAACATGAAGATCCAAGTTTGATCCCCAGGATTCGTGTAATAATGCCGAGTGTGGGAGCGTTCACTTATAAGCCCAGCACTGGGAAGGTAGGATCAAGAATGTTTGGGGCTCACAGACCTGTCAGTCTAGCCTAACTCCTGAGCTCCAGGCCAGTGAGAGACCCTGTCTCAAAGGAGGTGGGTGACATCACTGAGCAAGTGCACACTGAAGTGCATGCATGTTGCCACACACACTCACATACAAGGCTTCAACACCAGCTGGCTTCTGTGAGCAGGGCCTTCACCTGCTCATGGCGCCAATCCGAGGGCAGGTGCTGTCTGGGCAACGCCTGGGTCCAATTCAACATCAACACACGGTTTCTCTCCTGCAGTACTAACCTCGGCCTCAGTCCCTTTCCCCATAGCTCAGCGCCTCATTCCCTCATGTTCAAATCCATTTTCCAGTAGAGCTGAGAGAGAGCACGATTGGCCTAACCTGGGTTACGTGGCCAGGTGGAGGATCAAGTCCTAGGCCAGTCAATCCATGATGGAAGATCCTTGGTCAGCTTGGGGGTGTGCTCAACTGTCAGAGACGGGAAGAATCAGGATGAGGACAGGAGGATCCACTCATCTGTCAAGAGTGGGAGAGGAGCTATTCCCTAGACATTTAGAGATGGCTCCCTGGCTGTTAAGATAACAAGTGCACACTACTGATGATCTTCCACGTTGTGTTTAATGTGTGTTTCATGTGTCACACGTTCCCTCTTTGCTGTGCAGTCTTACCCAACAAGTTCCTAAGGGGCGGACACCTTGCTGCACAGTCATTTGTCTTCCTCCTTGTACTTCTGTTGCCTGAGGGACTGCATCACTCATCGGCAACAGGCAGCATCCAGGATCAGTTATTTTCATGTATTTGTTTTGTGGCAGGATCCTGGAGAGCAGAGGTCATGTCTTATTCATCTTGTGTCCCCCTTAGCACTTTGCCTGCTGTTTGGGGGCATAGCAAGATAGTCCATAAATCTGCTGACAGATTGAACGACTGATTTATATGCTGCTAGAGCCAGAGGTAGATGAAATCTTGATTCAACTACAAAACTACAGAGAAAAAGACCTGTGCTCGCTGCATCATTTCCGAGAGATTGCGGATCTCCTCTGGACTAAATAACGTTGCTGAGGTCAAGATAAATATGCTCTGCTCTGCGCAGCCCAGCCTCAGCTGCTGGTGTCATATTTCTAAGGGATTGGGAGAAGGCCCAAGCAATGCTGGTTTTAGCTGCCCAACCCCCTGAGGAGATCCTATCTTCTAACCCAGGCTCTGTAAAGGGCGACAGGTGCAGAGATGGAGGAAGGCGATGGGATGAGGGAGCAGGTGTCAGTCTTCAGAGACTCTGCCCCAGGCAAAGAGTCAGGACCCAGGGGACCACTGACTCCATGCTGTTCCTGGTCTTAATAGTTTTTGTTTGCAGTCCTCTGTTAGTTTTGGGAATCCCTATTTCCTGGAACCCCTGTATAATTTCCCTCACAACCCAGCACACACAACAAGGAGAGAGGAGAGGATGAAAAGTAACGATCACTTTAGATGTTTAAACACAGTCCATGAAGGCTGTCTTGGTTCAGAAGACTCAGTAGCTCATTTTGCAAAAGCTTTGCAAACCATTCTGGACCAGGCCATTTGTCCCTTTGTGGCTCATGCCCACAAATAGCTTTCAAACAGGGAGGTCCAGTGACTGGCCCAAAATCTCTCAGAGGTTTCTAGCAGACAGTCACCAAATGTCAAATTAATGAAGCCAAAGGATGAAAACGTGTGGTTGGAAATAGAAGAGTAAAACAGGAGGGTGGTAGTTGGAGCAGAGGAGGAAGAAACCAGGCCTGGGGCAAGTAAGGGGTCAAAAAGAAGCGACGGGAAAGGAGTGTGGCCAAAGGTAGGTCTGCACTGGCTACCAGCGGCCCTTCTGACACGCTGGCAGCCAAAGGGCAAGGAAGACGGAGCTTGGTCCCAAATTCGTTGCTCTTCCTAGAGGCCCCGCCCTCAAACTACCCCGCCCCGCCTCCCGCGCGGTGTCTTTGCGCGTAGGCTCCACCCCTGAGCCCAGAGACTCCGCCCCGCACTCAAGTTCCGGAAGTGGAGGCTGCTCCGCCTCTTCCGAGCCAGGTCGCGACCTTGAGGCCAGGAGTCGGATTTCTGAGCGTGCCGGGCTACCGCGGGCCCCGCAGCCTCCTCTCTCACCATGGTCGCGGCCCGGAACCTGCGCACGGCGCTCATTTTCGGCGGCTTCATCTCCTTGGTCGGCGCCGCCTTCTACCCCATCTACTTCCGGCCCCTTATGCGGCTGGAGGAATACCGTGAGTGACCTGTGACCCTGCCCGGTCCCAGCGCTACCGGGACGCCCTCAAAGTCTCTACCCTATCTGTTCGAGGAATACGGAGGAAGGAGCTGGACTTAGGAGTGAGCCCAACCGGGTTCCAGGCTCGCCCTGTGCAGCCCGGTGACCGTGGGCAAGTGGCCCCACCTCTGACTTTCAGTGTTCAGTCCCTAAATATATATCCGCACTATCAGCAACAGAACTGTGGAGCATCTTGGGGAAGTGTTGATACATGTATGAAAATAGCCTGCACGCAGCAGGTCGACCGTAAACACTAGTTCCCACACACAGTTAATATGTACTGAATGTTTATTTAATATGTGTCAGATACTGTTAGGCATATACTGGATCGTTGAATTTGCACAGCCTTCCCGTGAGGTAGATGTTACTACCATTTTACAGTTGGGGTCACACAGTAAGTGATGAGGGAAATGTTCCAACCCAGACTTCTGTCTCCAGAACCCCCTCCATCCAGCCGAGGAGGCAGAGGAGAGCCTTGATCATCCTGAGTTGAAAGGTGTTTTTATTGTGCATGGTTTCCATCCCTTAAAATGTCTTGAAGCGGAAATATTTCAAAGCTAAACTGTTAACCTGGGTTTTTGAGTTTTTCCTCAAATCGTTTTTCAGATTCTGCTGGTTTCCTTCATTTTAAGCTGGTTGCTCACATGACAATGGCGAATGTCCGGGGAGTCATTTTCCTCCTTCATCATTCAGGTCCCATCATTCTAAAAGCCAAACTCTCCTTCCTGGAGACCTATACCTCAGCAAGGATTAGCACTTTGATACATCTGAAAACATCTGTCAGAGAGGAGAGATAAGGCATTAGAGGATCATTTTGTTCTCCAGGAAACCTGAATCATCTTGAAGATGGAAGAGGGCCAGCCCATCCCCCAGGGGATATTAGCTGAGGCTGAAGCCTGGCGATTTGAAGTTTCATGTAAATGCTCTGCCCTTCGCCAGTGCTATAGCATTTGGTTTCTGAAGGCAGAGCATTTGAAAATACACACACGAATCCCTGCCAGCTTCTCATCAGCTCAGACTGAGATGGCCTCTGTGCTCCTGCCTTAAAGTCCTCCAGCATGTGGCATGCATAAGGTCCTGCAGAATTTGTTTCCATCCTTTTCGATCACCAGATCCCTGACCCAGGCTGTATTATGACAGCTTCTGGAGTTGGACTTGAGATGGAAGGTCTGCTGCAGGTTCCCTTAGAAAAATTCCAATTTTGAGGACAGGAGTGTAGTTCTTAGCTAGTGTGCTGTGTCATCTCTCTGGAGATGGTTTTGCATTGTCACAGCTAAGGGAGAGAAGGGGAGGTGAGAGGGCTATTAGTAGCTACCAGAGAGGAGCTGGGGTAAATTTTCCACAGTGCACAGAAGTCACCTGTGAGGTAGCATTGAAATGTTAGGGCTGCCCTGCTGTTAATCAGCCAGTCCAGAGGACTCATGCCCTGTATTTCTACACGTCTTCCAGGAAGTTGCTTTAGGCAGGCAGGTCAGGCCCTAGGGCTGTCTACATACCTTTTCACTTATTCTGATTAATTTGGCCAACTTTAATCAAAAGTCATAACTAAATCTTTCAAAAAGTAAATAATACTAAGCAGCTCATTTTTACCAAAAGTCTGTTTGTTGTTTCCCACCTTCTAAGCACTTCAACTACTAAGCCATTTAGTGTTCATGATAACCGTTTGTGGTAGCTGTTGCTTAAGTAACCTATCGGCAAGGGTATTTCATCGCTCTGAACCTTACCTGCTCCCTGGCTGTTCCCTGGTGGTGTTCACTGGACTGAATTTACAGGTTTGGGGTGGCTTAAGTGAAGTATTACTTGTAGAAATTCCTAGTATAGTCTCATATTAGGGACACTTTTAAAAGGAGGGCTTTGGTGAGGAATGAGATAGAAGCCGTGTGTGCCTAGGGCTGGCTGGCCTGGCAGGAAGCGTGTCCAGCTGGCTCAGTGTATGCTCAGGAACAGGGAGCCTGCTGTGTAGGTGGGCTTCTCAGTGCACTCAGATGTTCGTGTTTACAGTGGTTAACTGCTTCCCTTTCTTACACTCACCACCCGGATTGTAGCTGTCACTAGTGTCAGTGCAGTTTAGATGATCCACGGGATGGCCCCAGCACCACGTGTACTCATGTACAGTATTAGCCCAGCGTGTGCCCTGCTCCCTTAGTCACCATCTCTTCATCGCTCCCACCTGCCGCTCATGCCTTTCTGTGTGCGTTATTTTTCTTTCCTTCCTTCCCTCCTTCCTTCTCTCTCTTTCTCTCTTTCTTTCTTTTTCTTTCTTTCCTTCTTTCATTTTTAGAGCCTTAAAAGAAAATGTATTCTTTTCTCCTTTTAAAGTTTAAAAGTTGTTGAGGGGTGCACATACCAGAGCTTATGTGCAGAGATCAGAGGACAACCTTGTGGAGTTGTTTCTCATCACCTGCTTTAACACGGTTGTGGGGAATGAATTCAGGTCATTGGGCTTGCTTGGCAAGTGCTCTACTGGCTGAGCCATCTTGCTAGTCCCAGTTGAAATACACCTGGTACTACTTATTTGGTGAATTTGTAATGGGAAACCGTTGCAGTTTGTTAGGAAATGTGGAGCCCTCCGGGTCTTTGGCATTGGTCCTGCCATTTGTCCTTCAAATGCAGTCATCTGGCTTGCTTAATTAAAACCCTGCAGGTACCCCACTGCTATGCTCAAAGTTCAGGCAGTGGACGTTATTGAAGTATTTTAAGAAGGTGACCAGATTCACTGTATGTCAGCTTCAGTACCACTATGGGGAAGAGGGACCTGAAGGGAGAGAAAAAGGCAGAAAGATTGGTACTGAAAGTGTTTTGTTGTTGTTGTTGTTGTTGTTGTTTGGTTTAGTTTTTTGGCCCAGGAACTAGTACCCAGCCTGCAGCAGAACATTTCAGGGACTGGAGAACTAGTACACAGGGACTTCTGACTGATGAGTCCTGTCTTAGTCAGTGTTCTATCACTGTGAAGAAACCTGAGGACCAAGGCAACTCTTATAAAAGAAAGCATTTAATTGGGGCTTGATGACATTTCAGAGGTTTAATCCATTTTCATCTTGGCAGGGAGCATGGCAGCACACAGGCAGTCATGGTGCTGGAGAAGTAGCTGAGAGTTTGAGCCACAGATGTAAAACAGCAGCAGGAAGAGAAAGCCCCTGGGCCTGGGCTTGGACTTTTGAAATCTCAAAGCCCTCTCCTAGTGACACACTTCCTCCAAAAAGGCCACACCTACTCCAACAAGGCCACACCAAATCCTTTCAAATAGTGCCACTCTCTGGTGACCAAGTGCTTAAATATATGAGCCCATGGGGGGGCTTTCTTATTCAAATCACCACAAGCCCCAAGGCTGAGGGAGAGTGGCTCCTCTCTCCCTGACTTCAGCAACTGGGAAGGTAGTTGTGATGGTGCCAACTGATTGGAAGGCATCATTTTGAGGGATGAGGATAGGTACCATTTTGGGCAGCTGGAAGGTTAGGCACCAGTGTGCTTCTAGAGGTTGCCCAGAACAATCCCAGTCTGGAGTGGGGTGAGGCCATCAGCAGTATGCATCGGGGCCAGTCAGCTCAGTAGGTTGGGGATCTGGCCAGTGAGCCAAGCTGGGAAGACATAGTGCCCAGAACACCAGCATGTGAAGGGCTGATAAGTGGTCATCAGAGTAAAGGTCCTCAAAGGAAGCCTCAGGAGGAGTGGGCATAGAGAGGCTCAAAGTTAAGAGAGCCCAATAGCATCCAGAAGACAGCTCTTCAGGGATAGGGTGTGGCCCTAGGTTAGGTTGCTTGGAAATAGAGATAAGTGAAAGTATCCATTAGACTTACGAAAGAGATGATATAAACAGTTGGCCAATGGTGGTTTGAAAGTGAGCAAGAAGATTGCAGCAGGTTAAAGAGTAAGTGAGTGGTCTGTTAGATGGATATTTAAGTATGCCTGTCTGTTGGTAGGAATATGGCAACCCTTGAAGTAGGCCAGGGGCCTAAGGAGTTTTGCTTTCAGTTAGAGACAGGCGGCGCGGGAATACTTGGAGAGAGCAGACAGGCTAAGGTACTGACGAGAGGACAGTCTGTAGAGGGAGTGGCATGGGCCTGAGTTCAGGCAGACACAGCCTTCACATGGCAAGTTGTGGGCACTGTAGGTGGCAGCTTCTGCCAACTGACACAGGACGACAAGCTCTCCTCTGTAAATGAAGTGCATTCTCCAAGTGTTATCTACCAACCGCCCAGAGTCCTTTTGCTTTCCTTGCCTCTGATGGGGTTGACAAGATGGCTCATCAGGCATTTACTGCCAAGCCTGATAACCCCAGTTTGATTCCTGGATGCTATATGGTAGAAAGGGCGAACTGTACGGTTACCCTCTCCCCTCCACCTTTGTGCCTTTATTGGGTCTACTGTTACAGTACAGGACAGTGTCCTCCGGCCAGGTCACAAAGTACAACATCCTGTCACCAAGAAGGGAGTATTGGCACCAGTCACAGCAGCCCTTTACAAAGACAGAGAATGCTGCTCCCACCAATTGTGTTGGTGTCTTTTGCCTAGTCACAGCAATCCCTGTTTTAGGCAAACGGGATGATTGCAGGTTCATCTAGATTTCAATAACTGTTGTAATGGCAGCAAGTCCAGCACAAGCTGTTTGAAACGGTCATGGCAGAGCATGTCTTCAGGAGCTGGGATTTTCCTTTGGCAGCAAGCAGCTGTGATTTCTTTTTCAAGATAACCGTGGAGTGCTCAGAAGTGCCAGTGTGACATGAGCACAGTCTGGCTGGCTGTTTGGCTGATAGTCCTCAAGGCAGCCAGGACTTCAGGAAGGGGCCCAACAGCTTTCAGTTAGAGAACCATTCTAGCTTATTCACGGGGAGAATAGCTATCAGATGGGATGCTTAGGAGAAGGACTTTGTATTGATATAATAGTGATTGCAGTAGCACAGGGAGAGATGGTTCTCCTCGTGTCCTGACATGAACAGCACCTCCTTGACTGCTCCTTCCTGGCTTCTGTGACTGTCCCTCCACCTGAGCTGGCTTACTGCTTTGCCTCTGCCTCTCAGCTGCTTCTTAATGCCTCCTCGAGTCTGACCGCCCTGTATACACCGATTTGGTCGGTCCAACGAGTGGACCACAGCTTTTAGGGGCCCAAGCCATGTAGAGTCCCAAGTGTCAGGTCCCTCATGGCCAGCCTGCATGTGGGGAGTATAGGGCTGGGCAGGTTCCAGGATCTCTGCTCCAGTAGGATGAGCCCACGGGAGGTGGGGGCAGGAGTGAGAAGGAAGACTGCCCTGTCAAACAGAGTGAAGGAGAGCCCTGTGATGGCTAAGTAGCAGGCCACTGTGACAAGTGTGTCTTGGTGCACTTCATCTTGACATTCAGCATGATCTTTAGCTCTCACTGACTCATCAAGACTTGAGGAACTGCTGACTGGAGTGAGTACAAGGTCAGGCCATCCATGATGGCTCAAGTCCTGTTTTGACTCCTGGGGAGGTGGCAGTTAGCCTTGGGGTCTCGATCTGAAGCGAGGGGTTTAGATGCAGTTACGTTGGGCTTCTGGAGGGAGCCCAGGCATCACATTTCCCTTCTTGCTGCCAGTGGGGTTTGTCTGAAGATGTAAGGGATCATCACTTGAAGCCTGATTATGTCTTCATGTCCAAATCTGAGTCTGGCTCTTTAAAAATAGCATGTATTTCAGGCATCAAACTCAAATGCTGAAATGGGATAGAGTAAGAGCAGTTTTTTGGTTTTTGGTTTTTTATTTTTTAATCTTGATATTTCCCAGTTTTAGTTAGAGGTACAGAAAATGAAAATCATGTTTGTTTGTTTGTTTTACCAAAGATCCCAGAACTTATTTATTCCTGACAATTAGGTACCTTATCTGGTGTCATTCTGCCTATTAGTTGCTGGGTAGACACCAGATCCTGATTCCCTAACCTCGTCCACGCTGCCCTGTCAAGATGCCTTTAAGAATGAAGCTGCAGGCAGCAGGGTGAATGGCTACATGGGTGAGCGGGAGGAGAACTGATTCTCCTGCATCTCTCCTGTGTTCTTTCTGCTGTCCCTCGCTGCCCCCAATTGAAACTGTGTTGTCTATCTGGAAGAACAAGATTACCAGAAATCACTTGATGTGCACAGTGCCTTTCTTCTGAGGGCATTTCTCCTATTACATGCCAGGTGCTTGGAATATGCTTTTCACCCCATTCACCATGTAATGGAGCAGAATGCAGAGACAGGCTGAAGTCCTGTGTCCCAACTGGCATTTCAAGGCTTTCTGTATTGAGCCAGGTTTTGATGAGTTGTGCAGACATGTTTACAATGCAAAGAGCAGTGATTGAAGTGGCTGCTAGTTGCTTCAGCCAGCCAGCTCAGGTGAGCTGCAGCAGTGACGTGGCTTCTGCCACACCAACAGTTCCTCTCAGTTGGTACCTTTGGTCTCCGCAGCTGTTTCACACCATTGTGCTGTCCCCTCAGCCAGCTGCTTCACACCTGCTAGTCCATGTCCTGGGCCCAGCCCCCAGCCCCTGCCAGCTGCTTCACATCTGCTACTACAGCTGCATCCTCTCCTCAGTCTGAGTTTCAGTCACCATTCTGTCCCTGTGCCCTCTTGGATTTATGACCATTCTTGGTCACTGCCTCCTACTTGGGGTTTGTGTCCCCTGGCTTCTGGTTCCCAGCTGCTTCAGCGCTCACTGGGTTCTGGACTCTCCTGTAGGCGGCCTGCAGAGCCTAGTCAGCAGGAGCAAAATGGGAGTGCCGAGGAAGTACCTAAGTCTGTCCAGCTATTTTTAAACAGGTGATGCTTGAAGCAGCCGTCCGGGAATGGTCACATGTTGTTGGACTTTCTTGTCTGGCTGTTGTGCAGTTGCACTTTTTTTTTTTTTTTTTTAAATTAAAAAGCTGTGGCAGAAAAGATCCAAGGGCCATAAATCCTTTGTCCTTCACCCAGATTTGCTGGTGGTTAACAGACATCACCTTTGCTTTCCTTCCTTACAGAGAATACAGACACCTAGATTGCACTCATCACCATTATTTTGCTGAGCCATTTGAGGGTGGGTTGACGACATTATGCGCTTTTATTCCTAAGCACCTGAGCCTGTTTTTGCTAAGAACAAGGCCATTCTTTTACCTAATCACAGTATAGTCAAGAATTCAGGAAATTTAATATTGATACAACAGAGCTGTCTGGTGTAGAGACTGTGTCCACATATTGTCATTTGTCCCAATTAAGCCAAGTAAGTTGTGAGTTGCCTTTCTTCAAGTGTTGGTTGTGGGAGGGGATGGGGAGGTAGATGAGGCCTGCCTTTTCTCTGCCAGTGTATCTGCTGGTGCGTCACTGGCGCACCCTCAGAAAAGCAGCCGCGAGTCTGGCGAGGAAGCTTGCTTTCAGGTTCTGCGTTTGTGTGGTGGTCAGTGTTAAATACAGCATAGGCTGCACAGCAGATTTACTTCGCACTGCAAACCCTGGCTCATTCTCAGACTTCAGTCAGGCAGACTCTTGCTACCATCCAAAGTCAGCCTACCTGTATGTATAAACAGCTTTAATAATGCCAGGTGGCCCTTTGACTAGAGCGAACTCTCCGCAATTAACACTACAAATCAAACCTCAGCCTTAGCACCAGGGGGCAGAGTTAGGCTTGCCGGGATACTGGAGTGGGTTTTAGGCATTTTATGTGAAAACTTGCTCACAACTGAAGTCAGTAATTAGCTTATTTGTTCATGTAGCAAAAGCCTACTTCTGCCTCCACTGCTTCCCTGAAGTTCCTAGATGTTTGCTGTTCCTCCAGTGACAACGAAATAGAAACCTGTCAACTTCATCAAGACGAACGCGCTAAATCCGGAGAGACTGGTTTCTGTTTTCCCATTAGCAGATTCTTCATTCCAGATGAAGTGTCTTTGTGTGGTCTCCTGAATTTCCATAAAACTGCTTTGGCCTCAGAGTGTTTATAAAACATTAATGGATCTGAGAAGCGGGTGAATTTAGGTAGAAGCTAATACCCAGTTATCTCTTGACAGGAACTGGTTTAGCTTGCCTGTTCAGGCCAGGCCACCAAGGTGGCTCTTTCAGGACCCAGATTATGACAAGATTATAGCCTGCTTAGAACAAATCTCCAGCCTCTCTCCAACCTCATTAGCAATTAGCGAGAAGGTGCCAAGACAGGGCTTCCTCCCTCCCTGGGTTCTCCACTGCAGGACAAGAGGTTGCGACACAATTAGACATTCTGTCCCTGCCATCCATCTAGCAGCTTTCTCCCGGCAATGCCTGCCATCCTGCCAGCATCTTGGGCTCTGCAGCGGTACCTGTTTCTTTGAGATTCTTTGAGAACCTTTGGTACATTAGGATGGCCAAGTTTCTTTTGTCTGTGCATCTAGAATGCGTCGTAACAATTTTTTTTCAAACTTAACTTCTTCCTGCTTTCACAACATCAGAGATATCTTAGGTCTGGAAAATTCTTATCTATTTTTGTTCCTGGCAAGATCCATGACACTGTGATGTTTTGCTGGCTGTCAATAAATAAGCACAAGTTGGAGACATCCATGCTTTGATAGGGCTCAGGTATACAGAGTCTTCCACAATAAAAACCTCTGTGTTGTTAGGTGCCATTTGCCCCTTGACTTGGAGAAGGCCTGTTGCCATCTGCAGGTCCATAACACCTGTGTGCCCTATACCTGCTAGTTTGAGAGAGGAGTTGGGATCTCCCAGCCACTGTGCCTTGTCTTGTCCCTGCCCGTCTTAGAATTAGCTGTCAAGATTCCCACCCACCTTCACTACCCTCATAAGGTTAGTATTGATAACACTATCAGGGAAGTCATTTAGGACTGACTTTCTGTTTCTATGCTCTAGAAAAGCAAATTCGCTGACTATCAGTGTTGGCAGAAACCCATTTCTTGTACCTCCAGCAGGTTTATGAGGGTAGACATACTGGTCCTACAGCAAATAAGAGCTGAGAGTGGCTGGAAAGAAGCAGTTGCTCTATTAAGACAAAGGTCTGATTACTGCATTTAATCATTGCTGCTTAGGAGTCAACATCTTTTGACACAAAGTCTTCATTCTAAAAAAGCTACCATTTGTCAAGACACTTAAGATAATAATTTGTTGTTGTCGTCATAGGACTCAGGTTTCTTCTAAACCACTTATAGATGTGACAGAGAACTTGAAGCCCACACTCATAAAATGCTTGATTTCTCTTGGCCTCTGCCTGTTGGACATCTCCAAGTGCCAGGCTTAGCTGCTGTTGCCACAGCGAGCTCACTAATTGGCACGGCACCTGCAATCAATTAGGGAAGCTTCAATTATTCAAACCAAAGCCACCCACCCAAAGATTAATTTTCTGCTCTATTTCCTATCAAAAATATAGCATATTTAGCTTGGAGTCCAGTTCTTCAGTGAAGTGTTTTTAGACATCGTTATCTTGATAACTGTGCCTATTCTTTCTTTGTGGCAGCCTATCTCTTGTCTTGTCACACCCACCAGCTCTTAAAACTGTTCTTTCTGTTGAGTTGTGTCCTTTCCAAAGATTACAGAAAGAAAGATGTTTGAAGTGTGGCTCTTTTTACATCATGGGATCCAGCATCTCCAACTTAAAAGCTTTAAGTAATAATGTCCCTGAATTGAATCATACTCTTAAATATTGTGATTGGCCCATGGAAATTGAAAAAACAAATGCCCACACCTCCTTCCTAAAGAGTAATTAATTGTTGTATTGTGTTTCTCAGAGAAGGAGCAGGCTGTAAATCGAGCTGGTATTGTCCAGGAAGATGTGCAGCCACCAGGTAAACTTTACAAAGTTCCGGACAGTCCTATCTGGGGCTCAGGGCATAAGTGCTGTGGAGTCAGGGGGCTTGTTTTGTTTGTCGTTTCTCTTGGGAACCTGGTCTTGCTAATTATTTTAGCAAGTTCTTGTCAAGTCTAACCAAATATCATGCTAATATTTCAGTGTCCAGTACTTTTCACAAGGTTCTTGGGCCCCTCTTTTGCACGTGGTAAATGGGCATAAAATGTAGTTAAATACACAGCAGATCACCTGCTTTACAGACTCCCATACCAAGCACCACCCTGTAAACAGCACCCTCATGGGGAAGGAGTGTGTTACAGGTGAGCTGTGCTCATTGATGTGGGATTCCGGTCTGACAGGGGTCCCCAAAGCTCCCTTCAGGGCTGAATAGGACATTCAATTAACCCAAGCTGGCTCAGAATGAGAGTTTTTCTAGCTTATTAACCCAACTTCTGCAATTTGGGGGTCCTAGGCCAGATCCATTTTTTTCCTAGTTCCTAAGCCACTTAAAAACCCCTCCCAGCTGCCATGGCTGCCAGGCACCTCTTTGCAGGGTTCCAGCGGCTACTCTCACCCATTTCAGTGTCTCAGCCAAATGGAAATTGCATGGCTCAAGTTCCACATCATCTTGTTTGTTTGGGATCAAGGGGGTGTGCTTAGACATTTAACAATGAATCCCGATGGGGTTTTTGTGTTTCTTTCCATAGGGTTGAAAGTGTGGTCCGATCCGTTTGGCAGGAAATGAGGCTGTCAGCAAGTCTGATGAGGAAAATGGACGTCTTCATCCTGTGCACTGCGCAGTGGGACAATAGATTGCTCGCTGCGGCAGCAGGGCTGGTGAAGGAACTCTTCCTGCTGCCAGCGAGAGCCCCTGTGATAGAAACCGTGCAAAGACAGTGCTTCCCTTAAGTCCCCGGAGAACCTGAACAGATGACACCATCAGGAAGTGCCTTGTGGCTCCATTGACTTTGCCAGCCTGCAGGGTTCTTTGTGGAGGATCTGCTGCTCATGCAGTCTTTTTCACTTCCAAGCAGTGATGTGAACACGAGCAACCTGTGGGCTCAAGGTGCACAGCTGCTTTGCCACCTTCTGAATAAACGATTTTAATGCAAACTGCCGTGCCACGCTGCCTCACTGAGCCCTTTGAGAGTCTTCACTTGATAAAACTATTTGGCGCTGTTTAAGAATACACTGCTCAGCTTAACTGTCTCATTGAAAGTCACCCTGTACTATACCACACACAATGGAATCACGTTTGAGCCTGCCAGCAGCAAGGCTTTGGATATTAAAGTGCTTTCTCTTAGTTTGCTGCTATGCACAGCTTTGTACTGTGTGTGTGTGTGTGTGTGTGTGTGTGTGTGTGTGTGTGTGTGTGTGTGTGT